AGCCATTTGTACATGTGCAGATCACAGAAAGAGAGAGGGGGAGGAGGAGGAGGAGGAGGGGGGAGGAGGGAGGGAGGAAGGGAGGGAGGGAGGGAGGGAGGCAGGGAGGCAGGGAGGCAGGGAGGCAGGGAGGCAGGGAGGCAGGGAGGGAATATGTCTGGGCACAGGATTGGCAAGTATAAACCCTGACCTAGTTTAGGCTCCTGAGATGGTCTTGAGGTCATGGTTACTGATTTACCAAAACCAAGGAGTCTTCCTTTAGGGGCCTTGCTTCTTCAGCCTGAACTGTGCCCTATCTTGCATAACATGTCTTACAATGTATCACCTCTGTTATTGGTTCCTTATAGTGAGGTGGCTATGATACATTTTAGAAAAAAAAAAAGATAGAAATTAACAACAGAATGAAGAGAACTCTGGGATCCAACCTTGAGTTCTTAACCTGGGGCAGCGGTCCCCTAAGGAACACAGGAGGACCTGTGAACCTGAGCAAAGAGGAAAAAAAGTCTTTATTTTCACAAACTTCTAAGTGAATATTAGTGTTTATTTCCATTTTAACTTCAGGCTAAAACCTACAAAATTATTCATAGAACCTATGATTTCATCACCAAGGAAAAACACAATAATTTTAATACCATTACTACTGCTACTAACAGCTCAAAATATCCTTTCTGCTCATCACTACATGGAAATTGTGATGTCTGTCAGACTATTTCTAAGTTAGGTTCCTAAGGTTTCTAAGTTAGGTTATGTTAATAAAAATCTTACCCACTGCCACATTACAAATATGTTTTAATAACTTTTGATAACTTTATTTCAGTATAATTGAGTTCCTTTGTAATATTACCTTATACAATCTAAAACAATTAAACCAAAACAGGCCATAAGCTTTGACACATGGTACAAAATAGTAAGAACTCCTGAGGTAAACAACGTAAATTTAAAGAGAAGGACAAAGGACTTGGCTTATTGTATATAGGATCATGAACTCAGGCTAGCCATCAGAGAGAATCTGGAACTACACAAAGAAGAAATTATCAAGAAGAAAAGAGGTGACAGGAGAGGGAAAGAACCAGTTATAACAAGAAGGAAGTACACAGGGACCAGACAGAACACAGACTGATAGCTGTGGAGTGTCTTAATATGCTCTACAGCTATAACAAAACACCTTAGACTGTGTGGTTTATAGACAACACAAACCTTCTGCTCGAAAGCATGAACTCTAGGGAGCTCAAAATCAGGACACTGGCAAGTTCAGTGTCAAGTGAGAGCCCGCTCTGCTCCACAGCCAGTGCCTCCCTCCTCACTGCAAGATCTCCAGCATCTTTGCAAGGACACTAGCCCATTTCTAAAGGCTCCATCCTCCTAACTAAATCACTACCCAAAGGATCCGTGCCTCTAGCCTCTCCCATTGAGGATTTGGTTCCAACATAAGATTTTGAGAAAGCACATTGAGACTGTGGTCGGATATAGCATCCACATGGAGAGGTCACAGAAAATGTGGGTCAGGAAGATCTACCCCTGGTCCCTGAGCTCCCCAGCCTTTGTACAACTCGAGATCTCGTTCCACCTTATCTTTAGCATTTCTTTTTTCTTAAGATTTATTTATTTTATGTATATGAGGACACTGCAGCTGCCTTCAGACACACCAGAAGAGGGCATCGGATCCCATTACAGATGGTTGTGAGCCACCATGTGGTTGCTGAGAATTGAACTCAGGACCTCTAGAAGAGCAGTCAACGGTCTTAACTTCTGAGCCATCTTTCCAGCTCCATCTTTAGCATTTCTTAGACTTCAAGAACTAAAAACCAAGTAACCTTTAGCCCTTAGAACCTGAGTCCCCACCCACATAACTTCTACCCCACAACCTACCTGAGCTTCAAATAACTGCACCTCTTTTTTAATCTACAACTGGAATATGTAAAGAGGAGACAGAATTACAGTAGTATCAAAGAGCATCCATTTCCTACAAATGAGAAACCTAGCAACCTGAACTGCCTCCCAGCAACCTGGACTGCCTCCTACTTATTCCCACCCAGCCCATGCCTCAGGACCAGACCATGCAACTCCTCCTGAGCCCATGGATGCTGTTGGGCATCTGTTCTGTCCCTGGCACTTCTTCCTTGTATCTCTGCTCAATGGATTTCTAGACGG